ATGTTATCAATGCTACTTACCTCAAAGACAAATATTCTCTAGGGCATGACTCCGCATCCCAGTCCAGGCTGATTAGGGGGGTGGGGGGGGGGGGGGGTTTGACTGAGTACAACTTGGAGCTGCAAGACATGAACATTTTCCAGAAGGGGATAAGTTAGTTAGTTAGTTGCGTATCCTGTACAGGACGTTGCAGAACCAACCCCAGCATTTTTTGTCTGTTGTGGTTTTTCTAGACAAATTTACGTCCAGTAGTTTGCCATTGCTTTCTAGGCGGTTGGTTTCTCGATATCACTGCCCAACCCAGCGCAAGGCGCAAGGCCCGCAGCTGAAATCGATGCCGGCACCCTGGCATTATGAAGCTCGTTCGCAACGCCTAAGCCACAGACGCCGACAAGGGGATAAGAGGTTTCATTAATCAACACAGAACAGGCATCGTCAGTAGTTCGATACTTGTGGAGCTTTTGAGATTCGAGCACCTGTAGATCTGTCTGGATTGATGCAATGATAATCCTGGCTAATTACTAATCTCCATTGTCTTCTTGGTCTGCTGTCACGCGATGTCCGCAGTTTAAAAGAAAATATCAAAAATAAAAAATACACGATATCTGATATCATCATTATCATGTGTCTTGTCTGTAAGCATAGGTGATTCTGACTCGCCATCTTACACGATCACCTGAAGTAAATAAAAAAGCTCCCGTTTCCAGGCCCTTAGGCTTAATGGGAATACAGGGCTAGACCAGTATTTTTATGGGCCAATCAGTACTTGGTGGGCGATGTGGTCAGCATCATGCCGGCCGCCTTTACTTCCCAGGCTGCACCTGGTACCCACTCGAGGCTGCTTCAACCTGGGAGTCTAAGTAATTAAAAAAAAAAAAAACAGTCCGCCTTCGTCAGGACGCGAACCCACGACCTTCCGATCCGCAGGCGGACGTCTGGCCGCCACTGCCACGACGACTTTCGCCAGGATTAAACAGATAATATCAGTTAGTGGAATGCATTACAACAATTGCAGCAAAGCTAACTAACATGATCAATTTCGTTGTCCATAAACATAAACGACCATGGCTTACCAGCTGTCACCATCTCTGAAGTTATTGATCAGTGTTCCTCAGGGGCGCTGACACAAAGAAAACAAATAATAATAACAATACTAATAATAATACAGTCGAGTCCACGTAAGTCGAACTCTGATAAGACGAATTTCACGTAAGTCTACGTGGTCGGCTTGGTCTAGGCCTTTATCTTTGTACGAAGGGACGAGGACAGAGTTCCGCTTAAAGTGGTTGGAAAGAGGAGGGCGCGAAAGATTCCTGATCCCTATGTTGAGACACGCCTGGTTTTCTTGGGTGTGATTCATGTAGGTTATGATCATCATCATGTAGCAGGTCCTTTGCAGAACGTCGCTTTCATCACTGTCTGCCTGAAAGAAACTCGGTCTCTCGCCAGTTCTTCCGCCTTATGTACTTTCATACTCTAAGAGTCACTTATATCCTGTGCTCATCTTCGTGTCGATCGGCCCCTACCCCTCCTTCCTGGTACCATGCCTTCTGCTATAACCTTTTTCATTCCGTCGTGACGCTTGATATGACCAAAATATTTCAGCTTCCGAGACAGGATGCTGTCTATTAGCCAATCTTCCTTGACGTTCAGATCTTTAAAGATGTCAGTATTTCTCCTCTTCTTTGTCCAAGATATGCTGCCTCTTTCCATAGCATTTCAGCTCAAAGGTCCCTATTCTCTTTCTTATTGACTGGGAGATAGTCCACGACTCAAATACGTATATAGCCACAGGTAAGATGCATGCTCTCAAAATTCTAATTTTGATCTCCTTGGTTACGATCAGTGTAAGGAAATACGCTCATTTACTGAGAAATTCATCTGCCAAGGCAGTGATGCGTGGTTAATCGAGGAGGCAAGGGGGAACTTGAGCGTTTAATTGAGATAATCAGCAGGGCTTGAACATCATTATAGGGCCCTCGGGTAAATCACCACATCAGACCCAGCCTACTTAACCATTTGCAGGAATAAAAATGTAAATTACCAATAAAATAATTGGCTATTTATTAGTACCTTCATTAAAGTCAGTATTCTGGCATAAAAACATACAAGCCTAAAGTAGGTCAGATTAATCACATGCTGTATCCGCAGTGGCGCTGCGTGGTCTCGAGGCATTGTGTCCGCCTTGAATGCTAGAGGTTCTGGGTTAAATCCGCGGCTAGGGCTGTGATTTTTTTCACGTGGACTTGGACTATTTTCCATGGTCTCTGGGTAGTGAAATCGGACTCCGTTGTGCCTTGCTGCTCACATAAAAAAAATCTCTTGGCAGTTGGAAATCGAAAAAGTAGCCTAACGGCGCAAAATTTGGAGTTAAAAATCTACCGAAAGTATTTAAAGATTCTCGCCGGTGCTACAGAGCCTGTGCACTATGCTGAGCTTCTTCAATTAGACTTGAGTTAGAAGAAGAACTGAGCACTTATGGGTTACTACCTGTCTGCCATGTTGTTGATCCGTTGTTCAAACCTTAAACCTGTATCCACAGTAACGGTTGGCTGCACTCTGCACACTTGACGTGAATGTACACTCTCTCAGACTGCTATTCGTCCAGCCATCTCTTAATGTTGTGCTCCCATTTGTATCGTTGTCTACGTCTTGCTCTCTTGCTTTCGACTTTTCTTACATCATGTTTTTTTAAGTAAATTTTTCTTTTATTTGGTCATAATATTTCAATTGTCTTTATTTATTTTGTCCATCATTTATTCTGTTGCACTAGAACCTCCGTATTTTATTTTGTTGTTTATTTCCTTGACGTACGACATAATCTTCTGTATGTTCTCCAGAGACTCATTTTGATTTTCTAGTTGCTTGTTCACTGTCAGTGTTTCTACACCATACACTAGGGTTGAGTTTACATAACATCTGAGAATTTCCATTTTTAATGTGCAAGGTAAACCAGTTCAAACATTTGGACAATGTAATTTAAACATTGTTATTGAATAATAAAAAAGATTAGTGTTGAATTCTGAAATGGGCGTAGATTAACTTGATATGCCCCTGTGGCGGCTTGTAACTAAAGATTAGGGGGATGCAGATTCCGAAAAATTTGTAGTCAGTATTCTAATATTGAGTAAAACGAAACAAACATTAAAACACACACACAAACACACACACACACTCTCTCTCTCTCCCCTCCCTCCCTCTCTCTCTCCTTCTCTCTCTCTCTCACTCGCTCACTTTACACTTGAACACAGGGTCTTCACTGAGCGAGCGACAGGGTTCTGTCTTATGGGGGTGTAGACTCTTATCTCTGACATGTGTTGACATGTACACAACAGCCAAACACTGTGTTACTGAAACTATAAACACACAGTTCCATACATGAATTTTTGTAAAATGATCCTGCACTAAGAGAGTAGTACTAAAATTAGTCTTAAGGGTTATTTAGAAAAAAAAAAGCATTCAGAAATAATCAAAGAAAAAGACACATGTGAATGTTATTGATAATATTCAGTGACAATGGGTGTGTTGCAAGTTTTCTCTTTCTTATTCACGAGCTGACCGCTCATTGGTCCTTCATATAATTATCAAGCGTGTCCAAATGTTGAGCTGTCCTTGAGTTCATGTTTAGTGTCTTTACTTCCTCTTTTTCCTCTTTCGTTCGCTTTAAATATATTATGTTATATATATATATATATATATATATATATATATATATATATATATATATATATATATATATATATCTAGTGTTGTATAATATGATATCTGTGCTGTGTTTGTCCCTAGTAGCGATGTTGTATGTATTTATGTAAGTTGTACCCCACTAGGACATCACACAGAGCGATAATCACCGGATGACATAAAGTGCCACCATGCGGATGAGGATCATCCGTTGAGAGATCCCAGAAACCGTGTTCAGCCGTTAGACCATATGTATGGCCCGGCTTTATTTAGGGCCCCCTGCAAAAGCCAGGGTGGGGCTTCAAATAACAAAAAATTGGATCCCACATGGGGACTGTAAAGCATATATATTGATGCAGCGGTGTTTCTTATGGCCAGCACTTAGTGCCTGGCTGTGTAAATTTATTATAGAGGTAGGGGAAAGGCATATCTTGAGCCTTAGTCTTTAGCGCTGCATAGGTAGTGCAGTCACCATGCACCGAGAAGGGTAGGATTTTACGCATATAGTGTAATGAAGGCTCATGTTAGCATTCCTCCTCCGACACCCAGTGACTCGAAAGAGTCACTTTCCTGATGCCAGTCCAGCAGGAACAAATCCCTGAAACCATGTTCAGCTGTGTTTTGAGTTATTGAACAACGGATCAACATCATGGCACACGGGTAGTAACCCATAAGTGCTTCGTTCTTTTTTAAGTCAAGTCTGAGTCCAAAGAAGCTCAGCACAGTGCACAAGCTCTGTAGCACCGGCGAGGATCCTGAAATACTTTGATTAAATTTTTTACTTCAAATTTTTGCCCGGGCAGCGCCGTAAGGCTACTGTTTTCGATTTCTAACTGCCAAGGAATTTTGTTACATACGCAGCAATGCACACAGGCGTCCGGTCTCACTACCCAGAGACCAGGGGGGATTACTAGAAGTCCAAGTCCACATGAAAAAATCCCAGCCCTTACCGGGGTTTGAACCCGGAACCTCTAGCACTCGAGGCGGTCACCATGCCTCGAGACCACGCAGCTGCCTGTTCAGCTGTGTAAAACATTTACATATATATTAGGACACCTGGTGCTGCAAAAATGTAACCTGCTGAATGTCCTGTATTAGTTGATCGAGGTTCCAGCGAGTCACCTCATAACTGTTCCGTTCTTGTGTCACTAGAAGTCGCTCAAAATTATCTTCGCTGCCGTGTTTGAAAACTAGCGAAAAAGAGAGAAGACCCAGCGAGATCTAGCAGCACAATGCAGATGTCCTGTGTAGAAGTTTATCTTACACAAACCAAACTAGTGCCTGAGATGCTTATGCTTTGATTAATTTTTGTGGTTTAGCCTTAACAGAAGCACCCTGCTGGACATCAAAGCTAGCCTACAGATGCCAGGTATATATTCTTACCTGCCTCACCTGACAGGACACCCAGAGCATCTTATTCCTGCCATCAAATTGTCCAAAGGCAGACAAGGAGGTATGTACAAAGTGTCTTGCGTTCACATGTCTGTCTGTCTACAGAGTCGTTTGGCATAAGTCACAAGTTATTACGGAATACTTGTGTGCTGGCCTGAAGGTTTCGGATTCGAATCTAGACCAAAACAGTTTTTGTTTAATTATTGACATTGGTACAATAATAAGAAGAAACTCCACAGGGGAGCTTGTACAGCAGGAGTCTACCAATCATCAGTAGAAGTAATCTCTCGTCCACACATGTTTCGGCCCATGAGTTCTTAGACATTTTCAGAGAGTGGGCCCAGCTGAGTTAATGAGGCTCAGAGTTGGTTTCCCCTGCTACACGTATTACCGGATGTTCTCGGATAGGGACAAGGCGAATTTGGTGACTTTGCAAAAGGTACTGTGAGATACGAAGTCGTTGCGGTAGCATAATTAGAGCGGTTAGCTTACCTGGGCGACCAAGTAGCAAGCTTACAGTTGGTTTATCGGACACATGTTAGACTTTGTTGGCAGCTGGCAGAGGGACACTGGCAGACAATTCGGGCACGATGCCCCCCCCCCCCCCCACCCCCACGACGTTTAACCTAAGTTAAAAGCAACCTAAACTTCGGCAGCTTAACTGTTAAAGAAAAATACCGCTTTAATTATGGGCAAGTTTAAAAAAGAAGCCGCTATCCGTGAAGCAAGCAGTTTTCAAACAGCACCTTTTGTCTGTCTGTTGGCCAAATTGCAACGCAACCTGGTCAGCAGACGGCAAATAACCCACCATTTTGTACAAATAGTGAGAGTTCCTATGTTACATATACAGCATCCAGCAAAGAGCAGACATTAAATTATGGTTTAAACTCGGGGTGGTCTGGTAGTCTGGTAGTCTTAGTTTCAGCTTCATAGCAAACGGGTCACCCCATCTTTGCTCCGCTCCTGTGATAACGAAAAACACACAGAATGTTTATCACAGTATTAGAAATCAATTTTAATCACATACGGGCACCACAACACTGCACGACAGGCATCGCGCCATTTTCTGAATCTACAATTCACACCAACACGTTGGTCACAGTCGAAAAAACATTCCAAATGCAATCCGCAGCTCACAGGGTCACGCCATGCATTCAGCTCAGAAGCTGGGCGACAAAACTATATCCAGTCTACAAATGGAGAAAAAATGCATCGGCCACCGTCCGGCAGAAGCAAAAAAATTGCCTCTGTTTCGAACAGTGCCGCTGCCTAACGTCTATTTTGACCGGAAGTCCGGTTTAAACTCAGGGGGTGGGGGTGATATTGATAGAGCTGAATTGACGAGACGAGTTTATGGGGAATTAATGTTTATCCGGTGCACATATATTTAGGTGGCATTCACAGTTGAAATCTGGTGTGAAAAAAGAAGATGATAAAGTTAGTTCAAGACACTAGGTTTCTTTTTGTAATGATAAACTTATGGCCAGAGTTAGAGAACGGATGCTTAGAGATCGGTTTCTTACTGAGAGGATGATGGCAGACAAATCGTTGTTAACAACGAGACCATGAGAAAATTGGTTCAATTTTAGTAAAGAATCTGGCAAGAGAAATGTCGCTTCCAGTCTGTGCCACATTCTTTTGTCTGGTGACCCAAAACGGAGTCGTAATGAGTAAACAAAAGATATCATTAAAGTTTTTCACAGAAATAAAATACAAATTTAACTGAAGCAGAGGCTGAAACTTCGTGTTGTCGCTTTGATACCACAAATAAGTGCCAAAATGCTCAGTGGAAGTCATCATCATCGCCATACGGCAAAGAAATTTGTCAGAAAAAGTCAAAAACGAAGACAATCTTAGTTTTTTTCTTTTCTTCCCACAACCGCAAGGGAATTTTTCAGGAAACAAAATGTGTGTCCCGATTAATTAGTTAAAAAAAAAAAAAAAACTCGTAACAACGTGACCCAGTCACATCGCATTCATACCGACTTCTGTTGCACGTCTTATCATTAGCTTTAATACTGAGAAGGCCATTACCATGCAAACTTGATTACCTAGCTGTACTTACTTGTTGAGGGGCAGGGGCCGACCGATGCGAAGATGGGCACAGGATATAAGTGACTCCTTGAGTGTGAAAGTGCATGAGGCGGGAGAACTGGCGAGGGACCGAGTTTCTTTCAGGCAGACTGTGATGAGAGCGCGTTCTGCAAAGGACCTGCTACATGATGATGACTTACTTTTTAGTCAGCATTAATAATTCTTGCAGTCCCTCGTGGCATCTCCATTGTTCTGCACCAATAAATGCAACTTTTATCCAGTATTGATCAGCGCCACCCGGTTTCCAGAAACCTGGATTAACATGCGTCCTTGGAGGCCATGGTTGACAAGAAAACAATCGGGTGCACACATTTCAAAGGCAGACTTGAACTGAGATCGATTAATGATACCAGCCGTATTCATACCTGGACGGTAGATTTGACCTGAAGTATCTTACAGGGAAGGTCTATAAATATGGGCTTTCTATTGTGTAAACACCCGCTTTCATGTTGAATTGCCGTCAAACGTTTGTTATTTTTGTTGATTCATGCTTTACTTAGCAACTCTGATGTGCTTTTGTTTTAAGGAAAACATTTGCCTTGTGGTGTTTGCTAGAACAGTGCATCTTTTTGTCCCTCTTCTCCCCATCTTCCTCCTTATTTCTTCTTGTTCTTGTTCTTCTTGTTCTTGTTCTTCTTTTTCTTCTTCTTCTTCTTCTTCTTCTTCTTCTTCTTCTTCTTCTTCTTCTTCTTCTTCTTCTTCTTCTTCTTCTTCTTCTTCTTCTTCTTCCTCTTCTTCTTCTTCTTCTTCTTCTTCTTCTTCTTCTTCTTCTTCTTCTTCTTCTTCTTCTTCTTCTTCTTCTTCTTCTTCTTCTTCTTCTTCTTCTTCTTCTTCTTCTTCTTCTTCTTCTTCTTCTTCTTCTTCTTCTTCTTCTTCTTCTTCTTCTTCTTCTTCTTCTTCTTCTTCTTCTTCTTCTTCTTCTGCATCTTCATCATCATCTTCTTCTTCTTCTTCTTCTTCTTCTTCTTCTTCTTCTTCTTCTTCTTCTTCTTCTTCTTCTTCTTCTTCTTCTTCTTCTTCTTCTTCTTCTTCTTCTTCTTCTTCTTCTTCTTCTTCTTCTTCTTCTTCTTCTTCTTCTTTTTCTTTCTTCTTCTTCTTCTTTCTTCTTCTTCTTCTTCTTCTTCTTCTTCTTCTTCTTCTTCTTCTTCTTCTTCTTCTTCTTCTTCTTCTTCTTCTTCTTCTTCTTCTTTCTTCTTTTTCTTCTTCTTCTTTCATCTTCTTCTTCTTCTTCTTCTTCTTCTTCTTCTTCTTCTTCTTCTTCTTCTTCTTCTTCTTCTTCTTCTTCTTCTTCTTCTTCTTCTTCTTCTTCTTCTTCTTCTTCTTCTTCTTCTTCTTCTTCTTCTTCTTCTTCTTCTTCTTCTTCTTCTTCTTCTTCTTCTTCTTCTTCTTCTTCTTCTTCTTCTTCTTCTTCTTCTTCTTCTTCTTCTTCTTCTTCTTCTTCTTCTTTCTTCTTCTTCTTCCTTCTTCTTCTTCTTCTTCTTCTTCTTCTTCTCTTCTTCTTCTTCTTCTTCTTCTTCTTCTTCTTTTCTTCTTCTTCTTCTTCTTCTTCTTCTTCTTCTTCTTCTTCTTCTTCTTTCTTCTTCTTCTTCTTCTTCTTCTTCTTCTTCTTCTTCTTCTTCTTCTTCTTCTTCTTCTTCTTCTTCTTCTTCTTCTTCTTCTTCTTTCTTCTTCTTCTTCTTCTTCTTCTTCTTCTTCTTCTTCTTCTTCTTCTTCTTCCTTCTTCTTCTTCTTCTTCTTCTTCTTCTTTCTTCTTCTTCTTCTTCTTCTTCTTCTTCTTCTTCTTCTTTCTTCTTCTTCTTCTTCTTCTTCTTCTTCTTCTTCTTCTTCTTCTTCTTCTTCTTCTTCTTCTTCTTCTTCTTCTTCTTCTTCTTCTTCTTCTTCTTCTTCTTCTTCGTTTTCATCATCATCGCTACACATGTGAATTGATTTCCAAACAATCTTCACGCGTGTTTTAATTAGTGTATATTCTATTGGGAAAGGGGGGGGGGGGGGGGGGGGGGGGGGGGGGGTTACTCAAAATACTAGTCAAACAGAGATCAACAAAATTCGCCGCTTTAAGGAAATATTACCTGCTCAATTTGTAATTATAAAATCATAAGGATATGGGAAATATACGGCCACTTGTAAAAGTTTGTGTTGATCCGTACAGTTTTCCAGATATTTGTTAAAGTTTGAGGGCACGACTTTTGGAGTACACTGTAATAAATTGTTTGTCTAGTTGTCCTTGTAAGCGTGAAGCACCTATGCCAAGCTGTCAGCCGAGGTTCTGTTTGTCTAGTTGTCCATGTTCTTCTTCTTCTTCCATGTAAGTGTGCAGCCCTTATGTCAGGCTATCAGTCGAGGTTCCAACTTCATCACAAATGAGTCAGCCCATAATTACTCCATTTCTGTTCCAGTGAAAAACGAATGAACATGCCCACATGTCCCGTGTTGTGAAAAGTTAGACAGGTAGCTGTGCCGGCTAAATCCAACAGTTCGTAGACGCATCAGATGCATGAGACAGCCGCACAATGTGGCCATACCAAAAGTGTGTTCCTAGAATTGTAGATCACAGTTGATGGAAGAAGCAGTCACACCAACCCAGCAGGTACATACACATTACTGCATAAGACACACAGCCAGTTCTGTGTCGACCATCCACTCGCCATTTACTGAATATGCAGTTTACAACACACATCTCTACGGGACAGACAGTAAGCACGCCTCACAGTGTTGCACCATGCAGTCAGCTCGGTAGCTAGCCGAAAAACCTGATTTCGCCTTTACCTCGTTTGAAAAAAAAATCCCATCCATCTTCCAGCTCGCGCGGTTGAAACCCCAATATTTCACTTGAATACTGAGGTAGATTTGAGCAACAGAGACACAGAAACCGTACAGGTCTTGTATTATGTAATATTGCAACCACTTGAAACCCAGCCACTGTGCACATTCGTCAACTCTGTATTGTATGTTCGAATCCTCTAGGAT